CAGAGACAGGGTTTCACCATGTTGACCAGGATGGTCTCGATCTCTTGACCTTGTGATCCACCCGCCTCGGCCTCCCAAAGTGCTGGGATTACAGGCTTGAGCCACCGCGCCCGGCCTGTCCAGCAGTTTTTTAAGACTTTATTTTTCATGTTATAGGAATAAAATTTGTTTCTAGGCATTTTGAAATATGTGGAATACTAATACAGTAAAAACCTAACTAAGAAAATAGTTCCATTGCATGTGAAGATGTTGGGGGTTTTTTGTTTTTTGATTTTTGTTTTTTTGAGGTAGTCTTACTTCATCACCCAGGCTGGAGTGCGGTGGCATGATCGTGGCTCACTGGAACCTCTGCCTCCTGGGTTCAAGTGATTCTGTGTCTCCGTGTCCTGAGTAGCTGGAATTACAGGTGTGTGCCACCACACCGGCTAATTTTTGTATTTGTAGTAGAGACAGAGTCTTGCCACGTTGGCCAGTCTGGTCTTGAACTCCTGGCCTCGAGTGATCTGCTCAGCTTGACCTCCCGAAGTGCTGGGATTGCAGAGGTGTCCAGCTTGATGTTACTTTTTATAAGTTAAAACTATGTATCGAAGCATGTTTGTTTCTTTGCTACAGCATAGGTGGCTTCTTGTTAAAGAGGTTTTTTTCATGCCTACTGCTACCTTCTAGGCTTTGAATTTCATTAAGAGTAACTCTTTGAAACAAGTTTTGGCCAAACACACAAAGACCAAGCCTTAAAGCAGTATTAGACCCAAGAATGGTAGCAATCTTAAGGACTCATTACTACTTTTTTGTTGCTACAATAAATCTTTAGGAGAAGCCCATTATTTTGTAATAATTATTTAAAGATACATAGATCTTACAAAAAGCTGTATTTTGATTTCCTTATTCTTTATTATTCAGGTAAGTAGTCTGTAGTAAGAGCAGTTTAAAGATTTTGCAGTGCGTTTTCAACAACCATCAATTCTCTGATTCTACCACATGAACTGGTGTCCTCCTATTCAATCCTATTCTGACACTAACCACTCTGACTTACTGTCAGACTCCACAAGTTTGAGGACTCAGTCCACAAGACTGCCCTCACTTGCAACACCATTTGCAAGTCCTGGATCCCCAGGCTTACCCATATTTCTGTCTTCTGTCCATGTTGGCTATAGATTTTGGAAATGCCAATCCATGTGATCATTTGCTAGAGTGAGTCATAGAACTCAGGAAAATACTATGCTTAGGATTACTATTTTATTATAAAATATACAACTTGCGAACAGCCAAATGGAAGAAGGGCATATGCAGGGAGTTGGGGCAGGGCTCCAGAGCTTCCATGCCCTTTCCGGATACGCCACCTCTCCCAACACCTTGATGTATTCACCAAATTGGAATATTCCTTACCCTCAGTTTTTCAGATTTTGAATTGAAATTCCATCACTTAGGCATGATTGATTAAATCATTGACCTCTGGTGATTGAGTGTAATGCCTGTCTCCCTTCCCCTCCTAAGAGGTCAGGAAGTGGGACTGAAAGTTTCAGCCCTCTAATCACTTGGTTGATTCCTCTGGAGACCAGCCCCCATTCTGAAGCTAGATAGAAGCCTTGTCATCAGTCACCTCATTAGCATAAACTCATTATAGTTAAAAGAATCGTTATGAATAGCAAAAGACAACCCTGTCACTCAGGAAATTGGGAGGTCAGTGACAGGAACTGAGAGCAAAGACTCAATGTATGTTTTTATTATACCACAGACTTAAACACCTGAGATGGTAGACTGAATGGTTTGTTTCCCACCATAAACTGAGAAACATACAACTTAGGTGTTAAAAAGGAAAATTGTGGGTGTGGCGATACACATCTATGGTCCCAGTTACTTGCAAGGCTGAGGCAGGAAGATTGCTTGAAACCAGGAATTCAAGGCCGCGGTGAGCTACTATCATACCACTGTACTTCAGCGTGGGTGACAGAGTGAGACCCTGTCTCTAAAAAAGAAAAAAAAAATTAAGCTACTTAAAAAAGAAAATCTTGGCCGGGCACAGTGGCTCATACCTGTAATCCTAGCACTTTGGGAGGCTGAGGCAGGTGGATCACCTGAGGTCAGGAGTTTGAAATCAGCCTGGTCAACATGGTGAAACCCTGTCTTTATGAAAAACACAAAAAATTATCTGGGTGTCATGATGGGCACTTGTAGTCCCAGCTACTTGGGAGGCTGAGTCAGGAGAATTGCTTGAACCCAGGACGCAGAGGAGGCTGTGGTGAGCCAAGATCACACCACTGCACTCCAGTCTGGGTGGCAGAGTGCAACTCCATCTCAGAAAAAAAGATAAAGAAAATCTTGTTTCTTTGACACATTAAAGGATTACATAACATGATCAAGAGGAACTTAGCCCAGGAATGAAAGGGTAGTTCAACATATAGAACCTATCAATATAATATACCATATTAATAAAGGACAAAACTATACAGTCATCTCAGTTCACACAAAAAGTAACATTTGACAAAACCCAGCATTCTTTTATGATTAGAACAATCGGCTGGGTGCGGTGGCTCACACCTGTAATCCCAGCACTTTGGGAGGCTGAGGTGAATGGATCACCTGAGGTCAGGAGTTTGAGACCAGCCTGGCCAACATGGTGAAACCACATCTCTACTAAAAATACAAAAATCAGCTGGATGTGGTGGCACATGCCTGTAATCTCAGCTACTCGGGAGGCTGAGGCAGGAGAATTGCTTGAACGAGGAGGCGGAGGTTGGAGTGAGCCGAAATCATGCCATTGCACTTCAGGCTGAGCAACAGAACAAGACTCCGTCTCAACCGAAAAAAAAAAAAGGGGGGGGGCAACAAACTAGGAATAGCAAATAACTTCCTTAATCCTGTAAGTGACATCTACAAAACTACCACAGGTAATAGCATACCTGTCCCCTAAGTTTAAGAACATGGCAAGAATATCTGCTCTGGCCACTTCTGTTCAACGTTATGCTGAGATTCCAGCCAGAGGAGAAAAAAAAAGATCCAGATTCAAAAAACTATTTATAAATGGTGGAATCTTTTATATAGAAAATCCTTAAGAATCCACATATATATATCCAAAAACTCTTAAAACTATAAACAAGTTCAGCAAGGTTGCAGGAAATGAGATCAAGATACAAAAATCAGTTTTATTTCTGTACACTAGCAATAACCTGAAAATTACATTGAGAATAAAATTCCATTTGTAATAATATCAAAAAGGAAAAAATAATTAGGAATAAATTTAACCAAGAGTGTAAGACTTGTACACAGAAAACCACAAAATGTTATTGAAAGAAATTAAAGATCTAAATAATTAGATAGATACCCAGTGTTCATGAATTGGAAGACAATATTGTTCAGGTGGCTTTACTACCCAAAGTGATCTACAGATTCAGTGAATCCCAATCGCTTTTTTTTTTAAAAGAAAAAAAAATAGACAAACTGCAGAAATGGACAAACTGAGCTTTATAGACAGGTAAGGGACCCAGAATAGCCAAAATAATCTTGAAAAGGAAGTACAAAGTTGTAAGACTCACACTTTCTGTTTTTGTTTGTTTGTTGGGGTTTTTTTGAGACAGACACTTGCTCTGTCGCCAGGCTGGTGTGCAGTAGTGCAGTCTCGATTCCCTACAACCTCCACCTCCCAGGTTGAAGTGATTCTCCTGCCTCAGCCTCCTGAGTAGCTGGGACTACAGATGCACACCACCACACCCAGCTAATTTTTGTATTTCTTTAATAGAGATGGGGTTTCACCATGTTGGCCAGGGTGGTCTCAATCTCTTGACCTCGTGGTCAACCCACCTTGGCCTCCCAAAGTACTGGGATTGTGCTCGGCCACACTTTGTGGTTTTAAAATTTACTGCAAAGCCACAATAATCAAGACATTGTGATACTAACACAAGGATAGTCATAAAGATCAATGGAATAGCACTGAGAGTCTAAAAATAAACTCTTAAACATATATGGTCAGTTGACTTTTAACAAGATTGCTGGGCAGTCCAGTGGGCAAAACAATAGTCTTTCCAGCAAATCGTATGGAAAAAACTGGCTATCCTCATGTGGAAGAATGAAAGTTAGATACACACTTCATCCCATAAGGAAAAGTTAACTCAAAATGGATCATGATGGCTGGGCATTGTGTCCCACACCTGTAATCCCAACACTTTGGGAGGCCAAGGTAGGCC